CTTGCGGAAATTCTTGAAATCTCCGAAAACCACGTCAAGAGCAATCTGCCCGAGTGACTTGCTTTCTTCCCTGGATGTCTCTGTGGAACTGCATGTTGCTTTCACTGAGTTGGGACATCGGAATGTCCATCCCCTGGCGGGTCTCAGCATATAGAATGTTTAAACCACTGCCACCATCCATGAGTACTTTAGTCAGTTGGGTGCCCCCAACGACCGGGTCGACCAACAAAGCCTGCAGCCTAGGGGTAGCAACGTGAGCTGGGTGATCGGACTGGTCGAATGTAATGGGAGTCTTCGACCACTTCAGGTATGTCGTAGTTGCCGGAGCAAACATGTTCACTTTTCTGTTTATGACTTTTAGTCGACTTTTGCTCTCAACATCAGCAAAAATCACCAAGGTAGCATTGACCTTCAGGTAACCATCATCTTTTTCTTCTTCTTCATCCTTATCAGAATCCTTTTCACTGGGCTGACCCTCTCGGAACTGCTGAATCAGGAGTCTTCACTTTTGAGTGGTATGCTTGGGAAAATACCCTCTTCATCCTTCTTCGTGTGAATGTGAGACGGCAAATCTAGGACGTCTTGGCCGGCCTGATCCTTCAACTTTTCGGGCACCCATGGACCCTTAGGTTTCCCTTTAAATTTTCCTTGGCTATTTACGACTGCTGCTTCGGCCTGACCAGCGGCTTCAGCCTTGCGTTTCTATTTCCTACTGGGGTTTCCACCCCCGGTGTCTTGGTCGACTGCCTTCCCCTTGCCATTGCGGAGTCGGTCTTCCTCTTCATCATTCGCGTGCCGAGTGGCTATGTGCATCATCCAATTCAGAGTCATGGCCCCAGAGCGACCGAATTTCAATGTGAGCTCTCTGTACCGTACACCTTCCTTGAAGGCCCATAAGTCTTGGTGCTCCAAAACATTCTCCACCAGATGATGAAGAGTAGTCCACCGCTGGATGTAATCCCTCAAGGTTTCATTCGGTTTCTGGACACAATGCTGCAACTCAGATAGCCCAGAAGGGCGCTTGCAAGCGCCATCGAATGTCTTGATTAACACTCGAGCCAAATCTTCCCAACAAAAAATGCGTCCATGAGCCAACTGATTCAGCCAAGCTCTGGCCGAACCTTCAAGCATCAAGGGGAGGTGCTTCATGCCTACGTCATCGTTGCCTCCACCAATCTGCACTGTCACTCGGTAATCTTCCAACCATGTGTCTGGCTTCGACTCACCACTGAACTTGCTCACTCCCGCCGCCAATCTGAAGTTGGGCGGGATCTCAGCTGCCTGGATGGCTTTGCTGAAACATTCGGGCCCAGGGACGAGCCCTGTTTCCACTCAGACAATATCTGTCCAGCCCTTCTTTGTTGGCTTTGCCTCTGCCAACCAGACCCTGTACAAGGACTGACCTCACATCGAACCCAGGCTCTCTTGGGTCGACTGGAACTCTCCGCTCATCACCGTATGGGTGCCTATCATCATACCGCCAGGGCGCGTACGAATCGCCCCTCAGAGGGGGCGTAAGCACTTGACGGTGGTCATCACGATGGTATCGAGGATCAAACCGTCCGTGGCCTCAACCAAGGTACTGGTCCTGGTGATAACCACGATCTTCACACTGTGGAGGCGATCTTGGGCTGTGTACCGACCAAATTGTGTCCGCCACGACAGACCTGTTGTGAATCCTGTTGCGTGACTGAGAAACAGCTGAGTTATGTTCTCCGGCCACCTTGAGCAGTGCTCGAATCTGCTACAAACCTCTGTCAGCTTCGGAACGGTACGGCTGGATTGAATCTGTGATACATGCAGCTGCTACAACATTCTGGATCGGGATATGGTATACCTAACACTCTTCTCCATGCCCAGTCGAAAACAATTGTCGTTGTCGTCGACTGGAACTTGGAATTTGTCGGTGGACATGGTCGTCGAGTGCTTGTTGAAGATTCTCCAGGCGCGTACGCTCAGCCAGGGTGGCCAAGCGCACAGCCTCCAAAGCTGAGTCTCGGAGGTCTCCCCAACGATGGGGCTCTGGAGAGCCTGGACGTTTCTGCGATGCAGTTCCTCCCTCTACTCCAAAGTGAGGGCTCGAGGGTAATACTCGCCGTGGTCGCGCGACGGGTCACCGCTGTCGCCGCCACCACCGCCGTCACGGACTGTGTTGGGAGTCGACCGCGAGGACTTCCGTGGCGGGATCGTTGCTCTCGCACTCGAAAAGCGTGTCCGAATTGCGAGTTGGCAGATCGAACAACCCATAGAGGGATTCATTGGGCTCAATCGCCGTGATTTGCGGGGTGGTCGACTGACGAGCCGCCACATGCTTCACCCACCGCTGGAGCCGCGAACGACCGGATCGCTTGCGGCAACGAACAACGGGGAGCGAAGACGCCACGAGAGCCGACCGATACTGAGTCGACGGCTCCCGCAGGAGGACGCCGGAGGCACTCGCATGAAAGTGCGCCGCCCAGCGGATGGGTAGAGTCTCGACGTCGAGGGGGGCTTCTTGGAGCCAGGCGGAGTCGTCGGCGATGAAGACGAGCGCGCCGAGACGAATCTCGCGAGCCAGGGCCAAACCACCGCCGGAAACCATGTTGATGAAGATCGGAGATTGCAACCTCACCGAAAGTCGCTCGGACGCCTGCCCCCCGGTGGGCGCCAACTGTCGTGGGAACGAGTGTGACAGTAGAAGTAGGGGGTACGTAGGAGAAGGCAGTGTCCTAGCTACGGCGAGGTTGTATGCATAGGTTTACGAGTTCAGGCCCCTCTCGGAGGAGGTAACAGCCCTACATCTCGGTGCCACGAAGGCTTGTCGATTGGAATGTCGAATAGTTATAGGAGGTGCGAAGCCTTGTGCCAGAGGGGAGGAGTGGCTTATATAGAGTCTGCCACCCTTTCGCAGGCCTCAGTTACACATGGGTTCAATGAGAGTTAAGTCATGAATGTTACTGGTAATGCTCGTATTAAATGGTCTTAATGATGACGGAGTGAATGTGTGACCGTTGCCATCCTGGGGTGACTCTAGGTATTCTGTACTCCGAGTGGATTCTTGTATGGTCGAGTGAAATAGTCATTGTCGAGCGAAATTGGGGTATCCGAATGGAATGCTCTGTCGAGTGTATTGCACTTCATGAGGATTTCAATCGGTATCCTCTATAGGACCTTTAGGCCTCGGGCTCTTGTGTAGTGTCCTTGGGTAGGGTGTATAGGTCAGGCCTAAGACCCTAGCCTAGATACATGTCATCATCATCATGCATGTTAGGTGTTCCAATAGATGCCTTGGAGGCGAGCCAACCTGTGGTTGGATGGTAGGAGGACGGTGGTATTCACATCCCGTCAGAGTTTGATTTCTACACTTGACATTGGTGCTCGCATTCCTGGATTTATTTTAGAAATTCTGGTGATGTGTGTTCCCATCGACTACGAAGGCATCTGTGGCATCTTCGTTAATCTTAAGATGACATGCTGGTTCAATCTTTCAGAGCTGCTTATAAGGATAAGGTGTGCATGTATGTGAGTGACCTTGATTGTACTGTGTTTAACAAGGAAATGTCTGGGAGAAGCACTACTAGCATGAAGATGGTAGAATAATCAATATAATTAATTTGATGACCGGATAGAAGTATGTTCCAAATGTCATATTATCTCTAATAGTGTAAGTACGGGAATGGCCATATTCAGGTGCATTGCGATTATGTGAACAACCATGAACTGTCGACGGAGGTGAAAGGAGGATAAACGACTAAACATGTGTGGTGCAATAGCCATGTTTATTGGTTTAAGTGTGTGATTTTTTCACCCGTTGCAACGCACGGGCCTTTTTGCTAGTAATTATAATATGACAATATATTGCATGTTGGATCTAATGATATTGGTTCCGTATTGTGAATATTCATAGTTTCTTCTATAGATTTAATCACACTTTCTATGAATTTTTTTGTTGTTGAGACAAACCTAACATAGTAACATGCGAAATAAAAAGAAACGAATGGAGTACTCTGCCCTGGCTAGCAGAGATGACCGTGGCAAACACTTGATAAAAAATGAATGAGCGTACGGACCGAGGTCGTTTTCCATCTCGTGCCGAACCCAGCGCAGCCAGAGGTAGTTCGTAAACCGGTGTGCCGCGCCGGTGGTTTCGGTGGATGCGGAGGCGTCTCGCCGGGACGCAGGACGAACCACGACTGGCTCGCCGAAAAGAGCGATAAAAGGTTGTCAGTCAAAAGAGTGCAAGTGATTAAGGCGGTGCCCGTTGTGCAGGCGACCGTTGCCTAGCTATATATGTATAGGGTTTGGTACGATCCCGGAGACCGGCAAAGTGGTTGCCCAGAGGCATTTAATCATTTTAATTGGCACGATTCTCAATACGTCAGTTTTGAGGGACAATAGAGAGGACAAAAATGGGCTAGAAAAATACACCTGAATTTGGCACACTTTGATTTGATGTTTGATTCAAACAAATGTAAATCCTAGTGCCTAGTGGGACAGATGGAATGTACGTACATCAATAATTCGAGAAAAAGAAAGAATGTGCATACATTCCTTGCGAAGCAAACATAGCTACATTTTCTTATTTATTTTTGAGAGGGGGTGTAGTGAAGCAGACCCGTTGTTTTAGTGGTCTATTGGTCTGCTGGTCGACGCACAAAAAGAGAAGGAAAATATAGACAATTTGTTCTAAACTTATGCATTCTAAAGATTGCCGTAGATGTGCGTGAAAAAAAGGTGAAAACACGGACATGAACTTTTTCGTACGTGCCCTACGAATTAGAGCGTGAAAAGTTCTATTTTTATAGCAGGAAAGTTGGTGCAAGTTCTCGGAACCACATTTTTTCTGATCGTCATGCTCGAATTACATAGCATCCCACTACAAAGGACCTGGATATGCTGGCAAAAGCCCAGGAAAGCCAATCGATACTTTAGCTAATCAAATCAAAAGACTTCGACCAATCTGCTTATTTATTTATCGGTAAATGTACCCCATGGACGCCGCACGTGGCGACGGCACACGCCTAATCCAAGATGAGATCGACGGCCCCCCAGGCCTCCACGTCGTCGTCCTCCAGCCCCAGGAACGCCTCCAGCCCGGACATGCGCTCCCGCAGGCTCTCCGTGCCGCCGGCAGCTGTGACCGGAAGGGGAGACGAAGATGCCGAACTCTCCTCGGCAGCGACCCACCGACGCTTCTTGGGCGCCCCCGGCCCCTCCACGGCCGCGGCCGCCTGCGGCGCGCCCACCGCGGGCGGGAAGTTGAGCTTGGCCTTCGGCCCGCGGATATCGCGCGCCGCGACGTCGTAGGCGCGCGCGGCCTCCTCCGCGGTGGCGTACGTGCCCAGCCAGACGCGCGCGCCCTTCGTGGGGTCCCGGATCTCCGCAGCCCAGCGGCCCCATGGCCGGCGCCTGATCCCACGGTACGCCGTCTTCCGCCCCGGCGCCAGCGGTTTCTCCTTCACCTCCCCACCTTACAAAGAGAAACACAAACGAAAAGTACAGAACAGATTAGCATGCAAGCTCACTGTCAATCAGAGATATGGAAAACGCTAGCTACATTACAAAATGTTTTGTCTATCATGTCCGCTAGTAGTATCTACCGGCGAGGATGGAGCCGGGGACGTCGGCGGAGGAGCCATCCGGGCGGCGGGCCCCGGCCGGGACGAAGTCGGCGATAACAGCTCCGCCGCACATTTCCTAGCTAACCACGTTCTCCTCTTACTCAGAGTCTTTGGAATTGGCAGCTACCTCGGCACAGAGGAATTAAGCAGATGACAGACGTTCTCTTCTTCCTTTGGTTTTATGTGGCCTGCGCCTCAACTGCAACCCCCCACCCTTGCTCTATATAGCCAGCAGAGTCCAAGAAACCGATGGAGCACAGTGGCAGAGGTACGCTAGCGTGGCTAGCCGACGACTGTATGCAGCCCGGCTGGCATGTGATGCCGCGACGCTTTAATCGATGACGCCATGGAAAGCGGCCGAGAAAGGTCGGTGGGTGCGTGCGCCGCGGACGCGTCGGCGACAAGTGTCGCAGCAGGTGGCAAGACGTGGAGGCCAGGCAGGGAAGCCTGCCGGGTCGCGAACATCGCATGCCGCGGCGTACGAGCGGTGTCTCGCTGAGTCACTGTGGACTGCCGACTGGTGGCTGTGTGTGCCTGTGTCACATGCGTTGAACAGGGTCAGCGCGCGATTCTGAAAAGGCAGGCTGAAAAGTGGCGTCGCGCCACCAGGATTCCGACTCCCCGCCGACGGTTTCACGAGGAAACGGTGGGTACGCCGGCGCCCCGGTTTGCTGAAGCTCGCACCACTGCCGAATTGCCTATCCGTGCCGCGTGCGCCCCGACTCTTGTGTCTTTTTAGGCTAACTCCACCACCCGACCTTAAATGGATGTCCGGTTTGGTCGGATTTTGTTTTTTGAGCGGCAATGGGTTTGCTCATGTCTGCATTTGTCCGATGGGTTGTGGATGCGCTCAATGCGCGGCCGCACCTCAAAACCAGTCCGGGGTGGACGTAAAATAAAAATATATGAAAACTTAAATGAAATGACTTAAAAACTAAATAAACGCAGTTAAAAAAACATAAAACATATATATGGGTCACGGCCACAAAAACGGCCTAGTTTCTCAGTCAACTTAAACGGCCCAGTTTCATAAGTAACCTAAAAAACAAATTAAAAAAACGCCTCCCGCGCGCTCCTGCCTCGCCCGTCGATGCCGTGGCCGTCATCGTCTTCACTGGCCGCCGGTGTCATCGTTGTCGCTGACGAGGTCGACATAGTCCTGCGGCGTCCACAGGTGGGCCGGCGGTCCGTGGTGCACGGGGGCGGCGGGCTGGAAGGAGGCCGACGCCTGCACCATCTCCTCCCGAGGCGAGGCCTTCCGCTCCGGCGACAGCGGCAGAGTGGCGCACCAGTTCACGCCCACGACGGCGGCCATCTCCGGAGCAGTGCAGGACCAGCCCCACCCCTGGCCCACCAGGCCCGGGTGGAACGCGGCCACCGGCGGCTCCTCCACCACCTCCTCCTTCGGCACCATCTCCAACTCGGGGATGGCGACGTCACCGGCTGCGAAGAGGGCCGTCATCTCCTCGAGGCCCTCCCATTGGCGCTCGTCGTGCGTGTGCATGGAGTCCTCCAGCACACGCGCCATGAGCCGGGCCTCCTCCTCCGCCATCATGCGAAGAGGTGGGGGTGGCGATGGAGATGGCGACGGCAACGGCGTGGGCGTCAGGCCGCGCACCCGCGTACGCCCGCGCGCCTGGGGAGCAGCCGCTCGGGGCTCACGTGGCCGCCGCGGCCCCGTCGATGTGCCGACGAAAAAGGACGCTCGCCGCATATCGTGCTCATCTTGGAACTAAGTGTCCTAGAGGGGCGAGTCGGGGGCGTACCTCTGGTCGTAGTAGAGGTCGTCCGGGAGGAGGCGGCGACGGCGCTGGATCTCCTCGATGTAGTGCCGGTCGCGCGCGCCGACGGCCATGGGCGCGATGGAGAACGCGGGCGGCGCGGGGGCCCGACATGGTGGCGATGGAGACACGGGCTGCTCCTTCTTCACCGAGCCGCGTCAGCGTCCCGACGACGAGCCATCCACGCGGTCATGCTAGCCTTTGCGGCCGTAGTTCCATAGCCCCATGGCTGCGGGCGGCCGGCCGGCGAGCTCGAGGCTAGGGTTTGGGGGTATGGGGCTGTCGGGTTTCGAGGAGGCCGCGGGGTGGCGTGGGGCAGTGTGGATGACGATCGGTCCACGGTTCGCATTTAAGAAGGACCGCGACCCCTCGCCTGGGCGGGTGATAGGCGGGGCCTCCCGCGCGTGCGCGTTCATGTGGGCGGGTGGGAGGTAGGTGGCCGCCTGCCACGCGGCCCCGACGCGGACGAGGCGCGCGTCCGTTTGGTGTCCGCCGCGATCGAAACCCGACGCAAGTTTGCGCTCGAAATGGGTCGACCCGGACACAAAACGGATCAGATGGGTCTGGGCCGTCGCGCGCTGGGCCGCCTCGTTTGTCCGTTTTACCCCAAACGGACGGGGCCGAACAGGATAGGGTCGTGCGGTGAGGTCAACTCCACCGCAGGACCTCAAACGGACGTCCGATTTGACCGGATTTTGTCCCTTTGGGGCGACAATGGATTTGTCCATGCCCGCATCTGTCCGATGGATCCGTGTTGGACGTGATTAAAAAAACATAAAAACTTAAATAAAATGAATTAAAAAATAAATGCAGTTAAAAAACATAAAACTCAAGTTACGGTCATGGCCACAAAACGGCTCAGTTTCACGTCCAACTTGATGCCATAATTAATTAAACATAAAAAAGAAAATAAAAAACGGCCGCCGCCCACGCGCTCCTGCCCGTGCCCGTCGATGCCGTCGCCGTCGCCATCTTCAGTGGCCGTCGGTGTCGTCGTCGTCGTCGCTGACGAGGTCGACGTAGGCCGGCGTCCTCCAGAGGTGGGCCGGCGGGGCCAGCGGTGCGTGGTAGATGGGGGCAGGAGGTGCCTGCACCACCACCTCCCGTGGCGACGCCTCCGGCTCCGGTGATCGCGGCGGAGTGACGCACCAGTTCATGCCCACGACATCGGCTATCTCCTCCGCAGTGCATGACCAGCCCCACCCCTGGCCTACCAGGCCCGGGTGGAACGCGGCCACCGGTGCCTCCTCCATGACGTCCTCGGGAATGGCGACCTCGTCGGCGGCGGAGCGGGCCATCATCTCCTCGAGGCCCTCCCATTGCCGCTCATCATGCGTGCGCATGGAGTCCTGCATGACACACGCCATGAGACGGGCCTCCTCCTCCGCAGTCATGCGAGGAGGTGGTGATGGCGAAGGCGACGGAGATGGCAAAGGCGACAACATGAGGCCGCACACCCGCCTACGCCCGCGCTCCTGGGGAGCAGGCATTGTGCGCTCTCGACGTGGCCGCCGCGGCCCAGACGCCGTGTCGGCGAAGAAGGAGGCGCGCCGCACATCGTGCTCGTCCCTGAGCTAGGTGTCCCAGAGGTGTGAGTCCGGGGCGTACCTGTCGTCATAGTACAGGTCGTCGGGGAGGAGTCAGCGGCGGCGCTCGATCTTCTAACGGCGCGCACGGCCGCTCAAGGGGACCGGCAGGATCGGCACACGGTCGACGGACAAGTGCCAGTTGTTGGGGAGGTGGACGTTGCTCCAGGGGAGCGGCGTCCTCGTCTCCCAATAAAGGCGGCACACATCCTCGCGGATGTAGTGCCAGTCGCGCTCGCCGGCGGACGTGGGGGCGATGGAGAACACCGGCGGCGCGGGGGCCCGCCGTTGTGGTGATGCAGGCTCTTACTTCTTCACGGAGCCGGCGCGGCGCCCCAACGAGGAGCCGGCCTCGCAGTCGTGCTTCCCCTTGCGGTTCCATGGCCGGCTGGCGAGCACGAGGACGGGGGAGGGCTAGGGTTTCACGCTGTCGGATTTCGAGGAGTCCGCGGGATGAAGTGGGGCAGTGTGGACGACGATCACGGGTTCCCCATTTAAGAAGGACGGCGACCTTCCACCGGGCCGATGCCAGGTGGGGCCGGCCGCCCGATGTTGGCGGGTGGGAGGTAGGTGGCCCCCCGCCACGTGGCCAGACACGGACGAGCAGCGCGTCCGTTTGGTGTCCGCGGCGACCCAAACCCGGCGCAAGTTTGCGCTCAAAATGGGTCGGCCCGGACACAAAATGGACCAGATGGGTCCAGGCCGTCGCGCGCTGGGCCGATCTGTTTGTCCGTTTTACCTCAAACGGACGGGGCCAGACAGAATGGGGTCGTGCGGTGGAGTTGGCCTAAGGGTGTGTCTAGGACACACTAAATGTGACATAACCTGATGTTGACTATATTTGTGGTCTATTTTTTGTCTCAGCTTTTTTCTTTGTTTTTTGTTGCTGCGTTATTTGTAGGAGCTTAAATGTGACATTCTATAAAAACATTTAGATGTAAATTAGACAAACTGTTTTATTAAACAAGAGAGTCATGTTCTGTCCTTTTTAAACACGAAACGCTTTATTCATCACACACAACAGTTACAATGTTAATGAGGCGGGTTACAATTTCGCTCACAGGCTCCTCAAACCGATCAGAAGTTCGCGAAATCCTAGCTAAGAGCATCTCCAGTCGGGCATCCCAAATCCTCCTCAAACGCCCGAGCGGGCCGCCTGTTCACTGACTGGTCATGAAATTTTGACCCAGCCGGGCACCTCAAACGGGTCTCAAACGTCCGGAGTGACCGACATCTCTCATTTCCAGCCCAAATATAGGGCAGATGGATGCACACGGGCACATTCACCAACTTCGTTGTAGGTCGTAGCGGTCCCACCTGTAATGACTGAAGCTCCGTCCTCTCTCATCGGGGCACCGAGATTTTAGTCCCACATCGTCGGGCGAATATAATTGTGATTGGATTCCCTCTACAGGCTAAACCATCTGGCTTATATACACGACAGGTAAGGTATCTAGGGTTACATGGCCGGTATCTAGGGGTGCGTGGGGAGGCGGCAGGAGATGTCTTGGTGTATACGTCAAGTCTTCGGCAGGCACAGTCTTGAGCACGCGTGTAGCTTCCAGAGTCCACCTTAATGAGAATTAGGCTCCACAGGCCCAATCCAAGGACTATGGGCCGACTAGATTAGTACCCCCTAGCTCGAGACACCACTAGTAGCCCTCGAACTGGTCTTCTACACCGATGACGACCTCTTTGACGTCAAC